CCCTGCCCTTGTTCCCTCCCACCTCCTTCACCCTCTCTCCTAGTGGCCCCCAGCTCCAGGTGGCTCCTGCCCTGCTCCCCCAGCCCTACTGAGCCCTCTTTTCTCCCATCTCCTTCAGGCCATGAAAGGGTTAATCGCCTTCGTCCTGTCTATGCTGGTCTTCCAGCATGCCCTGAAGCACGATCATCAGGCAGATGTGGCCAAAGTCAAGCTGATGCAGGAGCGTGACAAGTTTCTGCAAGAGCAGATGACTCGGCTGCATGCAGAGGGAGCCACGCTCCTTTCCGTGTTGCAGCACTGGAAATTTTGGATCATTCCAGGAGCCCTGCTGGTGATTGCTGAGTTCTGCTGGTTGGTCAGGGAAATGAAGATTTCCCACGGCAGCTGCAGCGAGCAGGACAGCTCCAGCAGCAAGGAGGATGAGGATGATGAGGGGGAGGAAGACCTCAATGGTGAAAACGCTGTTCTCAGGACTTTGGCTGGATCCACCTCGTCGCCAATGCAGGACCTGCCCGACACGTGCAAGGTGGTGAAGGAGCTGGTGGGTGACCTCCTTAGCGTCTGCCAAATGCTTTGCAAGAGGTCTGTCATGCCGCAGATGTACCCAGCCGTTGGGATGGATGGCTATGAAGCCTGGAGCATCCACGAGAACAGCATCACCTACCGCCTGGTCGTGTTCTTGCAGCCACCCTGCGGGCACTCTTTCAGCCTGGAGCTGGACACCATGGGGCAGCTGCCAGCAATTCGCGTCTATGTGGTGCTGGAATGCACGTGCTGGAGGAAGCAGCTGCTGGGGGACGTTTCATGCTTTCTCCACCAGCCCGGCGACAAGCTGCCAAAGGACCAAAGCTCATACCTCCTGCGCACTCTCTGCACAAACTCCTACTTAGACTTGGAGAAAATCGCTCGCTGGGGCCAAACGTTGGTGAGATCAGCCTGGATGCTTTTGCCTCAGTCGCACCACTGCCAGCTAACAGTGTTGCCCTCCTCCCAGTCCTGCAAGTTCAAGCTGACAAGCTCCTCCAAGATGAACATCTGCATGGAGCTAATTTTTGCAGTGCAGTCAGACAGTTGAGGCGCCTACCTGAGCCTTGAGTAGGCAGAGACCAGCTTCACCAGCAGCACACCCTGGCCGGAGAGCTGCGGTGTTGCCGAGATGCCGCATTTCAGGCTGACGGTGAGGCACACCCAGCAGGACAATTTCCAGCTGAGAAGTCTGCAGCTCTGTGCCCATATCATGGTGGTCACAGGCTTTTCCCCATGCCTGTGACCCGGAGGACCTGCTTTCCTCTCACACTGGTGGGGCCAGGAGACAATTTTGGACACTGGGACAGAGAATCTGCTCATCCCAGAGAGTGCCTAGGAAGTCTGTGCCGCAGAGGTCAGCAAACTTAGGCCTGGAGCTCAGCATAAGCAGAGCTTGGGGAATGTCCGCCAGTCCAGCTGAAGATGCCATTGCAACTGAGGTTCCTGCTACTGCCTGTAACAGGATGGGACCACCCATCCTGTTGGAAAGACTTGATCCCCTCTGGGACCTTTACACGATGCAAAAATGACAATAAATTAGTTTGGTTTAACCAGCCCTCTGTCTGTGAGTGTCTGTGCAACACTTTGTTGGGGAATGAGGGCAGGGAGCAGGTCACTACCTGCTCAGATTCAGAAGCAGCGGGGCGGCGTTTTGAGGGAAGCAAGTGCAAGTAGTACCAAACCAGAACACTTCCCCTGACCCCTTTTTCCTTTCTTTTCCAGTTTTCTGCTCTGCTTCCATCTTTAGGGGAAGATGCCTTTGTGCGTGTACACTGGCTGGGAGGGAACCAGGGCAAGGGAGCCGGACCTTTCTTAGTAGCAACCACTGACAGGGTAAGAACCAATGGGCCCATAGGAAAAACCATGACATTCCGTCTGAACATAAGAAAGTGTCTCCTGACTCTGAGGGTGCTCTAACTTGGTGGAATGAGTGCCACGATTGGAGTGCTGGGATGGAGGGCTACAGGGCTGTTCAGGAGGGATAGGCAGGGCAGGCAAGGTGGCAGTGTTGCACTGTATGCAAGGGAGAGGTTTGATTTTGCAGTCCTTACAGTTAGTGGTGATGAGATTGAGAGCCTCTGGATGAGGATCAGGGGACTGGAAAACAAAGGAGATGTCATAGTGGATGTCTGCTACTACGAGCACCTAGCCAGAATATAAGCACTAATTAATTATTCTATAGGCAGTTAGGAGTAATTTCTGGATCGAAAGACCTTGTCCTTATAGGAGATTTCAACTTGCCAGACATCAACTGGGAATATCATACTGCTGGGATGAGTAGGCCTTGGAAATTCTTGAAGTTTGTAGGAGATAACTTCTTGTCACAAGTACTCAGTGTGCCAACTAGGAAAGATGCCCTCCTGGACTTGCTATTTGTGAATAGAGAAGGGCTCATGGGAGATGTGACGGTAGGTGGCTGTGTTGGCCACAGTGATCATGAAATGGTTGAGTTTAAAATTTCCAGTGTAATGAGAATAAAGAACAGCAGAGTTGCTACCCTGGACTTTGGAGGAGCAGATGAGAATAGCTATTCAGAATATAGAATAGCTATTCAGAGAGCTATTTAGCAGAGTATCCTGGAAATTTCCTTTTGAGAGCTTAGGAGTCCACAAGTGCTGGTCCATTTTTAAGAATCACCTTTTAGAAGCACAGGAGCAGGCAATCCCATTGTGCTGCACGTCAAGCAAATAGCTTGGCTGAACGGGAACCAGCTGTATCAGCTGGGTGTTTACAAGCCCATGGAGCCTGATGGGATTCATCGCAGCGTACTGAAGGAGCCAACGGATGTTATGGCAGGATCCCTCTCTATCATCTACAAAAGGTCTTGGGAGTCTGGGGAGGTCCCTGTTGACCGGAAGCTAGCCAATGCTATTCCAATTCACAAGAAAGGCATGAGGGAAGACCCAGGAAACTACAGACCTGTTACTCTGGCCTCAGTTCCTGGAAAAATTATGGAGACCATTATACTGGGTACTGTAGAAAGGCATGTAAAGAGTAACACAGTCATCAGCCACAATCAACATGATTTTGCAAAGACAAAGTCCATTTAACTACTTTGATATCCTTCTGTGACAAGGTCACCCACCAAGTGGATGAAGGGAAGGTGGTAGAAGTAGTTTTTCTAGATTTTAGTAAGGCTTTTGGTACTGTCCTTCACAGCATCCTTCTGGACACAGCGTCTGACTGGGGGATGAGCAGGTTCACGGTGCACTGAGTGAAGAACTGGCTGAAGGGCAGAGCTCGAAGGGTTTAGTGAATGGGGCTACATCTGTCTGGTGACCACTCACCAGCAGCATCCCTCAGGGTTCAATTCTAGGGCCAGTTCTGTTCAATATATTGATCAATGATCTGGAGGCAGGAGTTCAATGCACCGTTGAGAAGTTTGCTGATGATATGAAACTAGGAGGTGCTGTTGACTCTCTTGAGGGACAGGAAGCCTTGCAGAGGGATCTAGATAGATTGGAGTATTGGGCAATGATTAATGGGATGAAATTTAACAACACCAAATGCCGGATTCTGCACCTAAACAGAGTAACGCCAGGCACAAGTATAGATTAGGGAAGGAGTGGCTGGAGAGCAGCCCTGCAGAAAGGGATCTGGGGGTGCTGGTTGACAGCAGGCTCACCATGAGCCAGCAGTGTGTCCTGGCATCCCAGAGAGCAAACCATGTCCTGCAGTGCTTCAAACAGAGCATAAGCAGCTGGTCAGAAGAGGTGACTGTCCTGCTGTATTCAGTGTTGGAAGAGCCTTAGCTTGAGCACTGGGTGCAGTTCTGGGCCCCACAAGTTGAGAAGGATGTTCAGGTACTCAAACGCATCCAGAGGGCAACAAAGCTGGTAGAAGGGCTGGAAGACATGTCCTATGAGGTGTGGCTAAGGACTCTGGGTTTTTCTAGTTTGATGACAAGGAGGCTGAGAGGCGACTTCATTGCTCTGCAGCTTCTGAGGAGGGCAAGTGGGGAGGGAGGTGCTGATCTCTCCTCCCTGGGAACCAATGACGGGACACATGGAAATGGTTCAAAGCTGCACCAGTTGTGCCAGGAGACATTTAGACTGGACATTAGGGGGCATTTCTTTACCGAGTGAACACTGGAACAGACTTCCTAGAGAGGTGGTTGACACACCAAGCCTGTCAGTGTTTAAGAGGCATTTGGACAATGTCCCTAATAACACGCTTTAACTTTTGCTCAGCCCTGAATTGGTC